AGAGTAATCTAACCTACTTTGAGTCCGTTCTGAACTTAAGAAGATAAGCTGGAAGGTGATGAGAGGGGTTTAGTATTTTGTAGGTCATCAAAGTCACCTCTGAGCTACTTATATTCTAAAGAGTTGGGATTCAGTGACGAATTTGAATTTGAAAATAAGAAAGGGATGTTTTGGTCGCCTTTTGATACTCTTCGGCGTACCTATATGTTCCTGGATTGAAGGGAGAAACACAGTTCCCATAGTCTATATACTGTTCAACAAACATCCGAAAATTTAGCGGAAAATTCTGTCGTCACAGTAGCCAACCAGTCTTCAGTAATAAAGATATTCGGTCAATAGATCCAAGATAATCCTTGAGAGTTGTTTTTCGAAGAAGGTCCAGCTTCTCCTGGTGAGGCTGATACCTGTTAGTGTAAGGCTATATATGCCACAGGTATTCTGAGTTTGATGACACCTTTACCAGTAACACCTTTATAATCGAATTTTGCCAAACTAGTCAGGGCAGAATTTGAATGTCAGCAGAACTTCTAGCAACCCCAACGATTACTATAATATCTTTTACTGTACTCTATATTTATTCTTTTTCATTTTTACCGTCGCTTTAGATCGTTAATTACTGTGAATATTCGCTTCTTTGTATTAGTATTTAAACTTGACTAATTAGTTCAACCAGTAGAATTAACCAATCAGCTGCTATTATAATAGGCTATTATGGTTCTCCAACAAGCATTAGAAGCATGTAACTGCTCCTGTGTAGTATGAATTTAAATATCAACCACTCGTAAGTATAGCCAGAACGTAGCGCAAACAAACAAGACACGATCAGCTGTTGATTATAAACCTATCTACCTGCTTGTCCACTATGAACTACTTTCTGTCAGAAATTATCCACGGAAATATTTCACTTACTTGACCATTACCTGCCTAATGTCCTACTGCTGAATTCCATCGTCAAACATAGGATACGAATGTCAGAAATTTATGGTAAATCCGAGTTACAAATCTCCAGCAATCTCAGACTATGTTTAGATTGTCTTTCAAACAATGTTACATGTTTGGACTAGTTTATTTTTGAACCTATACAAATTCAGTCTACAACCTAGTGATATGACATAAATTAAACCAATAATACCTCATATATAGTTCGAATCCAACTACTATCTACTTCAAATTTCCACTATTTGGAAGTGAGAGTATTACAGGCGAGTTGCATAATTGCATTACAATGATGTTATCATTTTAGCTAATGTCTACTATACTCTTTGTATCTGTTGTTGTCTCATATGGCAAACCATGGCTCGACTTCCTTATTACACTTCAGTAATATTAATTCCGTTTTCGTTTCATTTGCGCTCAATACGAGTTCGGAAAATAGCTGGACGACCTCTGGAATTCCAAACGAAAACCAAAATAGTCTTCGTATGTTTTTGTTCATACATTCAATTGTTACATTAATAATACCTAAACGAACGTTCAGTGCAACTGTCAGTGTATGTAGGAATGATGTTACTTCGATGTGACGCTATAACACATCCGAACCATTGTACTTATGCAACTTCGACGTCGTACTTTTTTATATGAAATACCGTTTCTGTTATCTAACAGCCAGCTTTTTCCGGTTTAAAATGTTGTTGGTTACGACGGATGTCATTGTAAACTTTGCACAGAATCTGTTTAACTCCATCCGTAGCTCTTCCAGAGTTACTGCCGATCCCAAGCCCGGGTAAAAGAGGAGGGTCGGGCATGGGTCAGCGACCTCATCTCGTAGAAAACTAACTCGCTAGAAAACGTTAACCAAAAAACATAATTCAAACAATTTAAACTCTGCCCTGGGAGTTAGAAGTTCTTCATTTAGAAGAACTATGACGCCTCATGGTGAAAGCCGAGTTCCTTCGGAAGTCACGAAGCCGATCCCACTTCTAACAACCAGAACAACAATTTTTATGGGTACATGGAACGTCCGGACAGTGTAGGAGACCGGCAAGACCAGTCAAACAGCAACGGAAATGAGGAGATACAAATTGGCAGTTTTGGGAATCAGCGAAACCCATTGGACCGAAGCTGGACAACAAAGGCTAAATACGGGAGAGATGCTACTATACTCCGGTCACGAAGAGGAAAATACTCCAAGCACGCAGAGAGTTGCTCTACTGCTGTCCAAAGTAGCACGAAATGCACTTGTAGGATGGCGATCTCACGGATCCAGAATCCCCAAAGTATCATTCAAAACGAAGAAGGAGGGAATCACAATGAATATTATCCAATGTTTTGCACCCACCAATGATAGCAAAGACGATATTGAAGACCAATTATGTGAGAGGTTACAATCAATCATGATGAAGTGCCCAAGAAAGGACCTCACCATTCTGATTGGGATCCAAACGCCAAAGTCGAAATAGACAACACCGGATATGAAGATATCATGGGACGACATGGACTGACTGTGAGAGAGAAAAAAATGGAGAAAGATTTGCAAACCTATGTGAATTCAGCAAATTGGCCATAGAGGGCACAATATTTCCACACAAACGTATACGCAAATCTAAATGGATCTCACAGGACCACACTACAGAGAACCAGACAGATCATATTTGCATGAATAAAAAATTCCGAAGGACAATGGAAGATGTGAGAACCACTAGAGCAGTACAAGCCGAATAAACAGAAACAAACATGCATGTGGAGAAGAGCATTAGAGCCGACAAGAAGAAATACGTGGAAGAACGATATTTTGGTCCACAACCTGGAGATACTGGCAAAGAGAAGGAAAAGGGAAGAAAACCTAGAGATTATCAAGAATGGTTTAGTGGTAATTCAAGTGACAATTTTTGCATTAGTATGGCATTTTCTAAAAAGTCTGTAACTAGCAGCTGCAAGAGAAGGAAATATGAAACAGCTTTACGATACAACGAGGAAACTAGCAGAGAGATATAGTAAACTGAAGAAACTAGTCAAGGAAAGAGAAGGCAGGCCAATCACTGAAATTCAAGAGCAGCGGAACAGATGGGTAGAGTATTCTGAGGAACTCTTGAATAAACCAGCTCCACTGATTTCACCGAACATCGAAGAAGCACACACACTGCACCAATGGCGGAGGAAATTAGAATGGCCATCAGACATATCAAGAGTGAGAGGACGGCAGGACCTAACAATATACTAACTGGAGCACTGAGGTCAGACATCCAAGTAACTACAAATATGCTTCACCTTCTATTCAAAAAGACTTGGGAGGAGGGACAAGTGCCGATGGACTGGAAAGAAGGACATCTCATCAAGATTCCAAAGAAAGGAGATCTGAGCAAATGTGAAAACTTCAGAGGCATTACACTACTGTCAGTACCAGGGACAGTCTTTATCAGAGTGTTTCTGAACTGGATGAATGACTCAGTAGACGCCCAACTTCGAGATCAACAAGCTGGATTCCGTAAGAATCGGTCGTGCACAAACAGAATTGCAACACTGCGGATCATCGTCGAACAATCTGTTGAGTGGAACTCGTCACTGTACACTAACTTCAGTGATTATGAAAAGGCATTTGACAGTGTTGATAGGATAACATTATTGAAAATTCCTCGACTTTATGGAGTGTCTGAAAAGATTTTCAACAATATCCAAAACTCATACGACGGACTACAATGCAAAGTAGTGCATTGAGGGCAGCTGACAGATGCATTCCATGTAAGGACGGGAGTCCGAAAAGGCTGTCTACTCTCTCCCTTCCTCTTTCCTCTGGTGGCCGACTGGATTATGAAGACCTCGACATCTGGGGGAAAACATGGAATACAATGGACAGCCCAGAATCAATTAGACGATTTGGACTTCGCAGATGCCCTAGCCCTCATATCGCATACACATGAACAAATGCAGATAAAGACAGTAAGTGTAGCAGCAGTCTCTGCATCAGTAGGCCTCAGCATACACAAGGGGAAAACCAAGGTCCTCAAATACAGCACGGAGAACAGCAATCCAATGAAGACGGCACAGGTATTCGGTGTTTGGCAACGCTTTTACCAGTAACACCTTCTAATATAACTCGTACCCACCAAGAGAAATCAAAAGACAGATTCGAGGAGATCAGAAGTTGTATTTGACGATTGCCAATATATCGGAATTGTGTGATCTAGTCTGGCTAGCGATTGCGGTAGGTGTTTAGCACGGCGTTCCCACACGTGATCTAGTGCGAATGCATGATCGAGCGCCTTCAGCTGGGTGAGTCCATTAAAACTAATCTGGTCAGCATCCAATGTCGAAAACTTACAGAGCTATTTACTTTGGGGATTTATTTACCGCTACAACGATCACTCTTGATGGCGAATCTCCGGAAGTTATAGAATCCTTCACATACCTGGGAAGCATCATCGATGAACAAGGAGGTTCAGATGCAGACGTGAAGGCAAGGATTGGTAAAGCAAGGGCCGCATTCCTACAGTTGAAGAACATATAGAACTCAAAACAAATTTCAACCAATATCAAAGTGAGAATCTTCAATACGAATCTCAAGGCAGTCAGTTCCACTGTACGGAGCTGAAACTTGGAGAACTACAACAACCATCATCAAGAAGGTGCAAGTATTTATAAATAGCTGTCTACGCAAGATACTCAACATCCATTGGCCGGATATCATCTGCAACAGCCTTTTGTGGAAGAGAACAAACCAGTTTTCAGCTGAAGGGGAAATTAGGAAAAGACGATGGAGATGGATAGGACATACATTACGTAAATCATCAAACTGCGTCACGAGGCATGCTCTAACTTGGAATCCTGAAGGGGAGCGGAAAAGAAGAAGGCCAGAGAACACAGTTCTGGTGTGTGGCCTATGTTCCTTCACGAGGGGTAACAGGCGTAAGTAAGTAATAGGATCCCTTTAATTCTGTAAAAACCTTTTTATTTTCAACCAGATTGATTTAGGGATTATTTTGCTTCGAACGTTTACAATATGAAAAACCTTAAGTATGAAGTTTTTCCCACCATTCCAATGACGCCCATTTAGTTGTACCTTTCAGAATTCACTCTTTATCCTATTCAATAAAGTTTATACTTTTCCTGAAGTTAAAGTCAACAGCTCATTTTTGTTCATATGCTGTTAAGACAATATTTTATTGACTTATTTATTACAAAATTACACGAAATAGGAGATCTGGATGTGGAAGCTAAGTACAAATTTTCAAGGCTTTTCTTTAATGCCCATTTATTGAGCACCTTGTATTAATATTGTAGATACATATGCCCTTGACCCAAAGTGATCATAAACAGTAAGTTTTCAAAAGTTATGAAACGACTTCTGAAACTTTTTCAAGAAACTGTCTCACTCATAAAGGAATATTTTTGGTCGAGAAATGTGGTAGCTTTTTCCAAAGAAGTAGGTATACGTTTTTCAGACTTATTCATTGTTAAGGATTTTATAGAGAAGTTAGACTATGTTGATAAAGCACTTGAACTATTCACTGAAATTATGAAGTTCCGCAGTATATTAAAGCCATGTGTGACGAAACTTTACAAATCTTGCAGTTTCACACTACTTCCGTCGCTCAAAAGCGAGTTTGTTTGTAAGTTGATTCGCATATGCGCACGCACGCGTGAGACAAGTCACGCATAAAATTACCACATAACGTTCCAGTAAATAATCATAACTTTTCACAGTTCTTTTTTATGTCTCATTACTTGGAATGGAGACCTTTGGAGAAAACGGATTGGGGCACTTTCTTCTTTGTATTAAAGTTCAATATTGTAAAGAAGTAGGTTCACTAATGTACTTATGTATGTTTCTCTAGATTCTTAGATTTTTATGTTCACCTGAAGTACTGCGCGAGCTGAAATCAGAGTGGATTCATGTTTATGATGAATCGTTTGTAGATACTTTTCTGATTAAACCTCTTGTAAAGTTAGTTTTTATCATGAAAAATGTAATTATTTGACCTCATTTATTTACTGACTTATTATTTGAATTTTATTTAAAAGGACTCTCATTTAACATCAGCAAGCTGTCCTGAAGTTGGTATTTTAAATGTTCATAGAGCATCCACGTTTTAAAGGCAGTACTTTTGTTCTGTTTGGTCTTTACACCTCCATTTATTTCTTAATGACGTTCTTGTTTATGCGATTGTATTGTTTGCTCAGTAACTATCTTATATCACTGCCAATTATTTGTGGCCACAGCTCAAAACATCTCTCAGTTTCACTGGCCCTGCATGTGTATTTTCGAAGTATTTACTTATGCTTGTGAAATTTGACCGATTTTTTTTACTGTAATCGTATTATCTTACCATTTCTAACGGTTCGTCTTTCCTTTTTGCGTCAATTAAACATCTGTCTATTCTTACAGCAAGCAATATTTTTATGACCAAACTAAGGCGCTAATTAATATGGTAGACAAATTACGAATCAAGGCATGTGAACGTTAGTCATGGTATTGTTACTGTTAACAGTATTGCTTTGCAAACTGATCTCAGTTCGATTTGATAGTTTACTGTTAACTCAACTACTTGGTTGAAATCCTCAATAAGGACATGCACTATAATTTTATGTCCACTAAACTTACTTTGAGTTGAATACGCAGAAACATATAGTTTGGTTGGTGGTGGAACCTGGGACACGCGTTCCGTCCTACTGGAACTCATCGGCTAAATATAGGCTCGAAAGGATCGAATCCATCCTATGATAACCATAGAGAAATTAATTTAACTAATATTGTGTCTAAAATACTAGCTTTAATAGTTGCATGACGCCTACCAAAGACTTTTGAACTGCAAAAATGAGAAAGGCAGATGAGATGGTAGTTGTAATTATTCAGCAGGAAACCTTGGAGATAGGTTTCATGCTATTTGGAACTCTTCAGCAAGGTGTACTTTTAATCTTAAAGGAATTGATGTCCCTTGACGGATTCGATACCGTGTCACCCAGCTTCACATTCAGAGATGTTACCACTTAGCTACCCGGGCAGCGACTGACTTTTTGTAGGATGTATCTACAATTGATCAATCACTGGGTAGTGATCGGTGTGATGTATGTCAGGTCCTTCTTAGTGCAGATGAAATTATATCAACGAAGTTGCAATGTGATCACTAGTCTAGGTAACTCGACGTTTTGTGCACTATGTTGAGATGAGATGGTGGTTGGAGGTAGTCGATAGGAAACTGTGGATCAGGGTTTCGTTCAACTTGGTCGGATTCGATCTGAATTACGAATGACCTGACACAGATGGCAATGATCAGGCTGGCTTCAGACCTCGTCATGGCTGCATCGACTACATATCCACCATTCGTTAGGTTTTAGAACACAGACATGCTTATCGGCGTCCGAAAATGATGGTTTTTCTTCACTTGAAAGCAACATTTCACTCGGTAAATCGAGAGGCTCTGTGACAGTGTCTGCCATTGAAAGGCGTACTTCGGAATTACATAAACCTTGTGAGGTCCCTTTACTGAAACACTACCAGTCGGATAAGAGCTTATGGCAAACTGTCATCTGATTTTGCAACGTCGATTGATGTCCGGCAAGGTTGTTCACTACCTCCATTTTTGTTCGATTTCGTCATAGACCTGCTGCTGGAAATAATTTTCTCGTCAACTGAATTTTCAGTTGGTCTCCTACCAGAAGGTTCACTTATTGACCTAGAATACGCAGATGACTTAGTCCCGTTCGGTGAAGAGGTTGATAAATGCAGAGTCTTGTGGTAGCACTGAGCAAGAATGCCAGGATACCTGGGTTGCGCTTTTACCCCTTTAAATGCAGGACTGGTCTGTGTCATCACTTGAACTAAGGATAAGGAGTGAAGTAGTCGAACGGGTTGTCAACTTCAGTTATCTAAAAATTCTGATCAACCCTAATGGGTTGGTGTCTGACGAAATCTCTGCACAGATTCAGAAAGCTCGTTTGGCTTTTGCCAACTTTCGTCACCTATGGGGAAGGCGAGATATCCGTCTATCAATAAAAGGACGAGTATACTGCACGGCAGTTTGCTCTGTTTTACTTTACAGCTGCGAAACGTGGTCATTAATGGTTGAAGATATTCGTAAGCTACCAGTTTTTGACCACAGATGTCTTAGAAATATTGCTCGCATCTGCTGGGATCACTAGGTAAGTAATAGTGAAGCTAGACGCAGAGTGTTAAGGAATGGTGGTAAATTAGTTGATGAGGTTGTGAATCTTCATCGACTGAGATGGTTGGGCCACGTGCTACGTATGCCTGAACACCGATTACCACAACGCGCATTGCTGACTGGTGTTGAGGATGGTTGGAAGAAAGTAGAGGGCGGCCGAACCAAAACGTGGCATCAGTTCTTGAAGTTACTAACTTCTAGTCTGAGCCATGTTGGGAGATGCAGACTACTTGGTTGGAGTCCGTGTGACTAGTGTAACCAGTGGTTGGATACTCTGTGTCATATATCTCAGAATCGATCGCAATGGCGTAGGTGTATATACGCTTTGTATTTCTTTAAACTATGAGATCAAAATTATTTTACACCTTTCTTCCTATGAATTAAATATTTCTCTCTGAATCGTATCCTCAATGAAACGTTTTTTACTACCGCTGAAGTAACCGTTTCTATGAATTCAGTGTTCTTCTTTTTGTGCTAATAAGGCATGGGAACGTGGACCGATGTATATATGTCCCTGGTCTAACGTTGTAGATAATTGACTGACTTATGCTCATTCTAGGATTTGAACCCAATATCTCATGAGTCAAACGTTCAGCGCGTTTTCCATTTAGGTACTGCGTCCATATAGTTAATATATTGTGAAATAGGCATGGATACCATTTCAATTTGTAATGGGTTGAATTGCCTTCGAGTAGTGACTAGTTTCAATTTCCTAACTTTAGGACAATAGAGCCAATGGTAAAAAGGCTTTATAATTCTAACCAAAAACCTCCAAAAATAGCTCTATGTGCCAATTACCTCACTCTAAATATGTTCAGTATTTTATTGGTGATAAAAGTTGAGATAAATGTTTAATTTTTCATCATTTCTAGATGGAAGCCTGTATTTATGTCCCTTCAAAAGTCTCTGGAATCAGAGCAAAGTACACCCGATCATAAGAAAATTACAGGTAACTACCATATAAATACATAATAAGTCTATATAACCGTATTTAATAGAAGGTCAACCATTCAGGCTAACGCAACCAAAACCCCGATCTATTCTTATACCAGATATTGTAGTTTGTCATAATTTACATATGTATCACTCATGCGAATACCATTTTAGATTCCAAAAATGCAAAAAATGCGCGACCCTCCAATTTCTACTTATAATCAACCACCAGAAATTTCTTTATTACTCATGGAAAAAAACAAGAATCGTGAACAGGTATGTCCTTATGCCCTATTTCTTTACGCACCGTCATCTATTTGAATGTATATCAGTAAAATGGTTTTTTAATTAAGATAAGAACTGAAGGCCCTCGCAAGTTTGCGCGTTAGGCAACTTGTATTTGGAAGTTATTCCATACTTTAAAGAGAGCAAGAACAAAGGTTGGTGCAGAATAATATGAATTCATTTTATTTCGTTAGGTTCTCATCAGCTGCTTACAACCTAATATATTTTAAATCCAACGTTATTATAGATATTGACATACTTATACAACAGAGGGCGATGAAGGATGAATATATGTAACATAATGTGGCAAAGATTTCGTTAGAGTTAATGAGGTCATAAAATTTTGTTTCGAATATATAGAGTTTGGGAGGGAGGATTCCAGAACATTGAAATAGTGATTAGAAATCATGGAATTAAAACACATTAGATTATTATGCAATAAAGTAACTGAAAATAGATTAATGTTTATAAAGAGAGATATGAACTGAAATTGGTCAGTTATGAATGATGTAATTATAAAATTCAGAAAGAGTTGGAATGACGTAGTAAATAAAGGGGGGGGGGGTAATGTTAACACGGCAAAGAAAGATTTATTACTGTTTCTTTTTGTATACAAAGATCTGGTTTTGAACGTTTGATTGCTATTGCTTCGGTAAATTTTAAAAGGTTTGAATTTGATTGTTTGTTGATCACCTTGAAGGACTTCAGTATATCGACTTCGTGTCCTGTGTCAAGGGGATTTCTTGCGACAGCGCTGCTAAATGCTTTTAGTCCGTTTGATCTCAAACTGTTCGGAATATGTTCTTTGAATCGGACGTAGGCTCTCCTTTCTGTTCTACCAATATAACTGCTTTGGCAGATACATGTAAATTTGTATACACATTTGGTGGTAACATGAAAGGGATACCTGTCGACCTTTGATTGTGTCAAAGAAAATGTCGTTTTGGACAGGACAATCAATTTAGCTGCAGGATATGTTTTTGTCAATGCAGTTTTTAGTCTCATATTGATTGACCCTGTGACATTATCGCCTTCGAATTTGAGTTGAATAAAAACAGGTTTTCTATTTACTGTAGTTTCTTTGGGTATTTCATCTTCACGTTTTCCATATTTGTCAATAAATTTCATCGGGTATCCGTTATTCCTTAAACACTTTTTAACATTCATAACTTCCTCTTCTATTGTATCGGCAGTACATATTCTTTCTGTTCTGTGAAATAATGTTTCGACAAGTGCCTTTTTATAATTGATTGAACAAAATCTGTTGAAATTGAGATAAATACCATTCCATGTGTCTTTCTTATAAACTGAGCGCTGAACTGTGCCATCCTTTCTTCGTTTTATCGCTGTATCGAAAGAACCAAGCTCAAAGCAGCGATTGATGAAATGATGTATTATTCGAGGTATGTTGATGATACATTTATCGTATGTAATAATCAACAAAATACAACAAATCTGTTAAAGTTTTTCAATGAAGCTCATTCAAATATTCATTTCACTATGGAACATGAAAAAGAAAACATGTTCCATTTTTTCTATATAGCGATAAAACGAAGAAAGGAACATGTTTTCTTTTTCATGTTCCATAGTGAAATGAATATTTGAATGAGCTTCATTGAAAAACTTTAACAGATTTGTTGTATTTTGTTGATTATTACATACGATAAATGTATCATCAACATACCTCGAATAATACATCATTTCATCAATCGCTGCTTTGAGCTTGGTTCTTTCGATACAGCGATAAAACGAAGAAAGGATGGCACAGTTCAGCGCTCAGTTTATAAGAAAGACACATGGAATGGTATTTATCTCAATTTCAACAGATTTTGTTCAATCAATTATAAAAAGGCACTTGTCGAAACATTATTTCACAGAACAGAAAGAATATGTACTGCCGATACAATAGAAGAGGAAGTTATGAATGTTAAAAAGTGTTTAAGGAATAACGGATACCCGATGAAATTTATTGACAAATATGGAAAACGTGAAGATGAAATACCCAAAGAAACTACAGTAAATAGAAAACCTGTTTTTATTCAACTCAAATTCGAAGGCGATAATGTCACAGGGTCAATCAATATGAGACTAAAAACTGCATTGACAAAAACATATCCTGCAGCTAAATTGATTGTCCTGTCCAAAACGACATTTTCTTTGACACAATCAAAGGTCGACAGGTATCCCTTTCATGTTACCACCAAATGTGTATACAAATTTACATGTATCTGCCAAAGCAGTTATATTGGTAGAACAGAAAGGAGAGCCTACGTCCGATTCAAAGAACATATTCCGAACAGTTTGAGATCAAACGGACTAAAAGCATTTAGCAGCGCTGTCGCAAGAAATCCCCTTGACACAGGACACGAAGTCGATATACTGAAGTCCTTCAAGGTGATCAACAAACAATCAAATTCAAACCTTTTAAAATTTACCGAAGCAATAGCAATCAAACGTTCAAAACCAGATCTTTGTATACAAAAAGAAACAGTAATAAATCTTTCTTTGCCGTGTTAACATTACCCCCCCCCCCTTTATTTACTACGTCATTCCAACTCTTTCTGAATTTTATAATTACATCATTCATAACTGACCAATTTCAGTTCATATCTCTCTTTATAAACATTAATCTATTTTCAGTTACTTTATTGCATAATAATCTAATGTGTTTTAATTCCATGATTTCTAATCACTATTTCAATGTTCTGGAATCCTCCCTCCCAAACTCTATATATTCGAAACAAAATTTTATGACCTCATTAACTCTAACGAAATCTTTGCCACATTATGTTACATATATTCATCCTTCATCGCCCTCTGTTGTATAAGTATGTCAATATCTATAATAACGTTGGATTTAAAATATATTAGGTTGTAAGCAGCTGATGAGAACCTAACGAAATAAAATGAATTCATATTATTCTGCACCAACCTTTGTTCTTGCTCTCTTTAAAATAATAAATGGAACTATGTGTATGAAATTATTCCATAGTTGTATATTTTTATCACTGGAATTTAAATGTTATACGTATTTATATATCTTAGCCTTATTCTTAAGGTAGTCATAAAACTTTTCATATCTTAGGAATATCCAGGTCCTAATGTACAGTTATCAACATACAGAGAAATGCGGGTGAACTTAGTCTAAAGATTTGATTTTTTTAAAAATGTTGATAACCTTCAGTTGATGAGGTCGTGTTTGAACTCTACCATGTAGAGCTTTTTAAACGATATGCTGTAATGTGTTCTTTTTACAATGGTTAAGTTACTGTTGTTTGATTTATTTGCGACTGATATGTTTTTTATTTATCCATTAATCAAACTGTAACAAAATATGAAGTTTAAAATCCATTCAATTGATAGTTTTTACAACATGAAAATATTAATTGAAATTTCCAATTTCTTGCATACCGTAGAATAAAGTCTAGAAGTTCTACATTTTGTAATGATTGTTCGTTTATTATTTGTGAATAGGATATGTAAACGATACTTGATTTTTTAACTATAATTAGGTACATCTTGACATCTTCATGTATTTGATATACAAATATATTCAATAGTTACTGAATTATAATAATATTCCAAATGTTGATGATAATTTCATAAATTTGTTCTTTAAACATTTTGTAAATCCTTACTGAAACATTTTACTGTTTATTTTAACCAATATCATTTTTCTATAATTGTTGTTGTTGTTGGGAGATTGAAAAGTTAAAAATTCAAAGTGATAGGCTTAAACCAAAATGTGCAGAAATAATTTATGGTGATGCAAAAACAACGAATAATCAAAATCAATATAACTTTAAGAATGATTCTACAGATAACATAGAAGATACTAGAAATAATAAAAGTATGATGAATCCTTCAGTCAAATTGGAAAGTCAAAGAATTAGCTCAAATAAAAGAAATTATTTGTCTGCTTTAAACAAAACCGCAGTGGTTAATACAAATGCTGTTAGTATATTACGTGAATGGAAATTGTATTCGGATAGAGAGAGGGAACAAAGACAAAAGTGAGATTTCTTTGATTTTCGTGTATGAACAGAATTATTTGAAATAGTCAGCAGTATGATAAGCTTTACGCAAATTGGTTTTGTTTGGTAAGGATTTTATTGTTGTAAGTAGGTAAAAGTAGGCTGTTAACTGAACTGACAATCAGAAAAACAAGATATAACCAAATACTTTATTTCACATTCACACTTGTGTTATTCATCATGTTAATCGGATACTTTAGTGTTTTACTTTTTCATCTAAGAATAACCAGTTAGAAGAGGTAATAACTTGAATAAGTTGATTATTTTTAGGTAACTAATGCCATTTCCGAGCACTTTAGGCCACTCGAGAACTTTAAAATCAAAATGTAAAGTGTGATAGATATATTCTGAAGAGCAGTTCCATAGACATCAGTAACGGCTGTCCGGAAGCCTATTACTTGTTTTTCTCAATATTTTTGTTCAGTTTTAAGTCAGTTTTCACTACTTTTATGAATTAAGTGGACAAATATTAGAAGGTGGCTTAGTGTTTTACAAGGTAGTTATGGCAGAAACTTTAAGTCAGTAAGTTTTACGTCTCTGGTATCTGTCAATTTAAATAACTCTGATTCTGTAATTTTTCGAGCTCCATTCATTAATTTTTAATTAAATAGTCAATACTTTTGTAAATTGAACTGCGTATGATTTTCTTACTTATACGACTATTTACACCGCAGATATTCATGGATTTTATATAAAATACTGGTCTTGGAGAAATTTTGATGGGAATTCCTGGCGAGACTATAATTTATGGACGATCCAACTAGAAGCGTTTGAGCGATTTCAAAGTCACGGCGCCAATTTTGGTATCTGATGCTCACGTGTGATCGATTTACAGTGAATTTTAGGGAAGACATGATAACTGAGCGGCTAAAACAAGTGGGACTAGCAAGAAGTTCTTTTATTTGTGACTGTAGTAATCAAACGACTGCTGTAGCGTTCTCAGACTACCGTGATGAAGTTGTCTTTCAATGTTATTTATCTTGGAGGAGGAAGTCTGCTATAACAGGGACGTGTTTCGCTCGATTCAGATTGAGACTAAGACAAATCATGATAATTGTTGCGAATCGGATTGTAAAAGCACTAGTCACACTAGCTGCAACCTTTGCAGATGTTACCAAAGCTTTAGCAGTACAATGTACGAGTATTGTCGAGATATATGTACAATAAAAATGACATGCTTACACGAATCGTTCGGGGGAGTCGTAAGAATAGTTGAAATAGACGAAACAACCCTCACATAAATCGAATGATTTTTGTGGCGCATATCTATTTGGTGCCTTCTTATACCAATGTTTACGGTTAGAGACCAACAGGCAACGACGACATTACCAATTATACGGGGATATTTGCAGCCAGGCACTATAATATATACAGATGATTGGAGGGTGTACAGATGCCCACATAGACTTGGTTATGTGCATCACATCGTCATCCACAAGCGCCATTTTGTGGACCCTACAACCCGAGGTCACACTAACAATATTGAAGCCATGTGGTCGAGGTTGAAAGAGTTTTTACGACCTTATCATGGCTCGAGAGGCCGACTAATAGGGATAAGTTCCTCTATCGTATGCATTACGATTTTAGAACCTCTTAACCTCTTTCTAAGCTTGAAAAGTTTTAGAACCATATAAAAGAAGTGTATCCACTTTAATTCTTTGGTTTTGTATAATATATTTTTTGAAAAAAACTTTCTGTAGGCTTTGTGAATTAGAATCTGGAGCGTTTACGAATGCTGCTTATAATTCTTGGAAACAAGAAGAAGAGATGAAAATTAAATTAAATCAACTGAAAAAAATGGAACGTAATCGTTTAAATGTAATGATAAGTCATGAAGCATCATCAACAGCTAAGTTTGATCTTTGCTGTAAACGAAAAATTGCGGCTAATAAACTTAGAAATGAAAAGCATGCCAAGCTATTGGAATTTTTAAATGAAAGGAAATTACAACAGGATAAAATGAATAAAGTAGCCAAAGAAGTTGCTAGTTCACATGAAAATGCAAAAATTGCAAAGAAGAAGTTGATGGAAGAAAAGAAAAAATCAGGTTTGTTCATATTATATATTTCTAATTAATTTGTGATTTATCATAGAAAATTGTCAGATACCTAATAGTGTCCATTGCTTTGTTAATTCACATTAGTTAGTGATGGAAAGCATCTTCGAATTGTACGAAGATTCTGTGAAGTTATTCCACTTAATAAATGAATGATAATATAAATAAAATAATTAGATTTTTGTGAAATCCCATTGAGTAGAAACCATCAGGTTTAACCTTAGTACTGATACTTACAAATGAATAATAGTTCAAGATGTTTTGAAAATGTTACGTTTAGGGTAATTTCGTGGTTGTTATAATTTTCTTACAAGTGATGAAAAGAGAGACTTCTGCTAGAGAAATCAATGGTCTAGATTAACAACATTAGTTTTTAGCTGACGTCTTATATGTTAACGTCTTTTCAACCTTCTTAAGTTAATTGGAAAGATTCTAAAATCTCAAAATGATCTTGTGTCAGGCTAAATTTGATTTTACAAACGTTTAACAAATGGTAAAACTGTTGTCTTTGTTTTACTTACTTTTGGATGTTTGAACACTGTTATATTTTATGACATTGACAATTGTTGGGGTTTAAGTTTTTAACATTTTTAAAATGTTTGATTTTTTTTCGTCATACACGCTTGATCGACAGTACCTAACTCTATAAATATTCAGTTTCACGGATCACAACTATCACTAAAGATTTTCTAGGATTGAAATTATTCAATATCTTTCAGATCATATGTTCTCACACATCAATTAATTTTGTGTAAATTAATCAACCTTCCTAATATGATTCTACAAGTTGATTTCACTGGTTTAAAATTTTTACTAGTATTCTGTTTGGAGTTCCATATAAACGTGACTGTTTTACATCATAAGGTTTGTATTATTTCTAAAAGTAATTTTGAATGAATGAATTTTTAGCTAGTGAAATACTTAAGGAAAGTAAACAACTGTTAGATGAAGCTGCGATAAAAGCGGAAGAGGAGAAGAAAATGAAAAAAGAATTGATTAGTCAGATTCAAGCGGAAGAATTATCGGCCATAATGACGAAATCACGAAATGTAAAACAAGTGAGCTTAATATAGATGAATCTAAAGTATTATGTGATATTGTTTATGCCTTTTAGGATCCTAGCATTAGTCCTCTTAAATAACCTAACGGATTTGTATCATTAGCTGTAACTAAACGATAACAGATTCGTTTCAATAAGGCTTTTATATAGAAATTTAAACTGCGTTTCCAAACATTTGATAAGTTCTTTGTTACGCTTCTCTTCAACTTATCAAAAACATTCACCTTGAAGTACGGAGGTGAATGTTGAATCGATTTATGAAAGTCTTATTGAAAGAAACCTAGAACTGATGGGAGTTGAAAGTTTCGTTTAATTTTTTTCGACTGAAAATACTATGGAAAAAATCGAAGCGATATACACTTTCAATTGTTGGGATAGCTCTCTAATTTCATACACCAAATGACAAAATAAAGTCCAGAACGTTCTGTGAACAATTTCCATTATTCACAACATTGAGTAAGTTTTAGGAGGGTAGAAACCAGTTTATACTAAAGTGTTCGTGGTTATCAGAAGTCATAACGATAAAGCTATGGGAAATTTAGTAGAAAATATTTTTCGTCATTTTTATCATCTGTCGATGTTAGTTACTACACATAATAGGTAAAAGTACAAGTTGATAGATGTTAGTTATGTCTACAATATCAAGTTAGGTTCCCAAAATGTGCTTTCACTTTTGTTTAATGAAAATCCTATATAGTTTTTTATCTGAATTAAAAGAAATACTAGCTTGTAAATAAGAATGGCATAAGATTATCTCACATACCTTGCTATTCACACTAATATTCTTTTAATATTTGAGTTTATCATTTACTGATACCATTCTAAAGTTTGCAAATTTGTTTGGTACAGGTTATTCTACTTTTGATTTATTTCAGTAGTGTGACAAGAAATCTGGATATTTTTGAATTTATTTGGACACCATTTCTAAATTAATAAACGATGATAGTGATGGCGATGATAATAAAAATAAAAAAATAATAATAAGTACATAGTAGTAAGTATCGGATACAAAACATGTGTATGAGGATGGATTTTGGATGAGTAATATTGGTCACATAATTATTAGTAGAGACAATATAAAGGAGAATAATTCAACTGAAAGAGAAGAGGTATGAATCAAGCCGATTTCTTGTGGTACACTCGATGGATTAACACCGAAAAGTTGTAAATATGTATAGTAGACAAATGAATAGCTGGATATTCAAACGAAGTATTAGTTGGCTGGTGATAAATCGTGTCATTAATAACAATCAGATATTACAGGGTAGTCAAACTTGAAAGAAATGTAGAATAAATATCTAGTCGTAACATGAAAATAATGGCTTGGATTTAAATATTTGAAATTTCTAAAACATACTTTCATACATAAAATGTCATCTAATCTACTAAAATCCCCCATTTTTTTCTCATATAATGGTAACAATTTAAACAACTATTATTGATGAATGCAATTAGCAAGAAACGTCTATGCACTGGTATAATTTGGACTTTCCATCATGGTTAAAGGGACAGACACACGGTTTATGATCTTGTTTTGCGTTTAAAACACTAGCTAAAGGAGTTGTAGTTGAATTTTGTTCTTTTAAATACAAATTTAACCTAATCAGGTTTCAAATTCTGAATTTAAACAAAGAAATTCTAGTAAAACAACAAACTATGCAAAAAGGTAACACCAGTGAGGGTTTCGGAAATGAAAGTTTATTTGCAATAACTACTTATAATAATTTTTATTCGTAGTGTTGTAGACCTTTATCTGACTCCAGTAATATCGTATGATTAACTGTTATCGAAATATTTATTTCTCCTATCCTCGTATAAAATCATCGACTTAAATGGCGTTAGTGAATAACGGAATTAAATAAGTCGAATAAGATAATGGATTTGTGAATGCGTATACTTTCTACACTCATTGATTTAGACAAACAATCAGAGGAATGAAGCGAAGAGAAGAGAGCGAAGCGAAATGACATGCGGTGGAGATGGTATATGAGTTAACTCCGTTTAACCAAGCGTTAATCGTTATTTATAGTCACACAAAAGCAAGCTACATACATGTAATGAATGGGATAAGAAAGGTACAGACCTATGCTTACATAAAAACAGTCAAGATTGATATGTGAATAATTAACAAGGTCAAAATGTGATTCAAGAAGAATGGATAAATTGGCCTATCCATAAGTTAGAATAAGTTATATGAGCTTAACATAGTAACTGACACTACAGTGTACTTTAATTTGCTTAGAAGAAATATATTTATCATCATAGAAACATTTAAATAATGTTTTTAGTGATGGTATTTATAATTTCGTTAAGTATTTAGCTTGATTAAAAAAAAACATTCATCAAATGATAAAGAATACAATGGGGAATTCCTATAGAACACCACAATTGTATTTCTATAAATCATGTGTATTTCTTGTTTAAAACTAAGACTATTCTTATGGTATAAATTCAATTAATCCAGGCATTTAAAATAAAATCATCATTGCAACTCTTCTGTATTAACATATTGACAGTAACTCTTATGAAACATTCTTTCGTAAGCTTTTTTCTTTTGAAATCTTATTGAAAAACTAAGTGGTAACATGAAGTTAAACACAATAAAAGTCAATTATAGTTTAGTATTAAATTATTTCATGCTATAAAGTTTCATTTAAATGAGTTTGATAGTATGATAAAACAACATATTTCTATATGATATGAATTATAAGAGAATTAAAATAGTTCTACATGAGTCAGAAGGATGATGCAATTCAGGTATATGGAAGTGATTTTTATACTAAGAAATATGATGTAATTTTAATGTTGTTCTTTACTTGTATCTTCCCATTGTTATTTAGGACTGTAATTGATCATTTTTATAATATCATTTGTGCATCCTGTGCGGACTACCTCGATATTGCATTAGATCACAAGTTTTATTAGCAAAGATGGATAGCGGCTAGCAGTGGAATCCAGGACGCGCGTTTTGTCACCCTATCGCACAAGTAGGTGGCTATCAGGACTCAGTAACTAAGTGGATAACGCGATATCCGCACAGGATGCACATTTACCAATATGAGACTGATCAATTGAGGTTGTAAATAACAATAGGAGGATACAAGTAAACAACATCAAGGGAATTTAAAACTTCACCCCTTTGCACGGGCAGGTGGCTATCAGGTCTCAGTAGCTATGTGGATAACGCAATGGCGTTTGAAGTGAATGGTACTGGGTTCGAGTCCCAGAATGAACTCCAACTCTGAGATACAGGTATGTCCAGCTGACGAGTCTCAAATAGGGCAAAACTCGCGTCCTGGATTCCACTGCTAGTAACTATTCATCTTTGCTAATTATTACTAATTTTTCGGACAACAAATACCAGTAAGCAGTCTTTGTCAGATTCTGTGAATAAGTTCTTATTTTGTATTAGGTACTTCAATGTTTTCACTAGCTTGGTTGAATAAACTGTTCCCTTTTTTGTTCTAGGGTGTGTAGTTCAAGCATTAACCTCTTAATATAAGCAATTACCTTCATGATATTCTTAAGCGAAAACTGAGCACTGTGCTAGACAATATTCAGCATAACCTAGGTGACAGTTCATCACGGAGTGTATGATAGCTAAAGTAAATTGAAGACTGAGTTAGCTGTTTGGTTACTCAGTTCATTTGGCAAAATTCTAGCTTGCTAGTTGTTGAGTTGATAGCTGAGACCGTATCGTGACTCAGTGTGGATTTCAACTTGACTCATAGTAATAATTTTTGCTTTAAACGTCTTTGGATATTTAATTCAGTCAGCATAATGTCTGACCACAACAGAAGTAAGAGAGTTACGTATAAACAGCATCGGAAGACATCGCGATATTCAAAGAATAAGTCGAAGCTGGAAATGCGAAACGATGGATTTTGATCCGGAGGTCTCAATCATAGACAGCTGTTGAGAGATGTGAAAGTTCTCATCTCAAGCCAAGTAAGGTCTTGATTGTGTTCATTTGAAGAACCTCGTACTAGAATGAAACAGGTGTCCAATGCATTCTGGTTTTCAGTAGTTCTTCGAATACTATCATTATATTACAGGATTTACTTAAATGTTTTGAAATAGCTGTTTGAAACGTTTTGATAACTAGATTGTAGCTTACGTCTAGGATCAACATATGTTAGACAGCTACCAAAAATAGGATCGGAGTTATTGTATTCTGTTTTAGGGTTTCTCGAAATCTTTCATTCAAGATTTTAAACTGTATAGAACTCAGGAACTTTAAGTATCAAGACAAACGAAATACATTTGGACCACTGTGTTGATGATTCCCATGTTTATTAGCTATGGAAATGAAATCATAAAATCTTTCTAGATCACCTAATTGAATGTTTAGGCAATCTTCAATTTGATCATTTTAGTGAACGTAAGTTTAAAATTTCTTCATCCCTATTGAACACACTTACGGGTTATGAATCCGGTGTTCATCTTGTTGTGCTCATGAGGTATGGCAACTTGAACCGGTGTACATATGTACCTGGTCCTACGTTGTAGCTGACTGACTTGGCCCTATTCTATGATTCATTTTGGAGTGAGTTTTCTACCTTCCGAACAGATATTGACATTGTATTTTTAAAAATTTCAATACTGTTATGTATATTGAAACAATTTATCGAAACGTTATGTGCAAAGATGGATAGTGGCTAGCAGTGGAATCCAGGACGCGTGTTTCATCTTATTTGGGATTTGTCAGCTGGATGTGCCTGCACCTCAGATTTGATGTTCACTCTGGGATTGGAACCCGATGCCGTCCACTTCAAACGAGTTCCAAATAGGAAGAAACGCACGTCCTGGATTCCACTGCTAGCCACTATCCATCTATGCATATAACGCTTGTGAGTTAAGGCTATATCGAGGCAATAAGCACAGTACGCATATATGCCAATAAGAGACTAATCAATTGCAGTCCTAAACATCAATGGGAAGATTGAAACAAACAATCCTAAGTGAATTTAATTCATCAAAACTTTGAGAAACATTTAAACTGATGTTATCAATCATAATTCAGATTATGAGAAATTAATTTATTATTTCAAAATAAAATTGGTTCCAGTCTCATTGGTTATCAGTTTTTTTTAATCAAAAATATAATATTTAATAATTTATGTTTTAGATTGATTTAACCAATACACCCGGACATGGTTTACTAAATGAAATGTCTATAATTGAGTTAAGGGAACGCCTTAATCAATTGAAAATTAATAAACAACGTGAATTGGAAGAGAAAAGAGATGCAATAATAAATGATAAAGAACAAAAAACAAAGGTTTTATTAGAGTTACTTAATCGAATTGGCAAACACAGAAGTGTAAAAACTGTAGCTGCAACGAGAAAAATGGTAAATAATGGGGAGTAAGTTGAAAAATTCTCCATTATTTAATTTTTCCTTTATAATTAAAAACAACTGAATTTTGTCAACGACTTTCCCCTGTAAATAGAGTTTTAATGTTTAACATCGGTTTACTTGACTAATGCTGACTGAAAAGCCACTAGATATCGAGGTGGATTCAAGACAACTTTTCTCTTTATTTAGGATTACTTGGTAGTGAATACTCATGATACTGGACAGAGTATTCATGTTTAGTATTGTGTACAATAATTTGGTTCAATCAGATGGAATTAAGTAGTCCTACTGTTTCAAAACGATTCCATCCTCAATCTATTCCATTGGTGAGTAACTGCCTAAATGTTGACATGAATAATTTCACAGACACGATATATGATGATGGAGCCGTTAAGTCCTCTTTGGTTTACAGTGTTTTTTCAGCTGACGTCAGCTGGTGTTATAATAAATATTTAAACGCAACATTAGTTCCAACATTAGCTTAAGTGTATTATCCCCTCTTACTGAAATAAATAGGCTCTAAACTATCCCCGGCTTATTTTTTCCCGCATACACGTACTTTTTTAAAAATATTTCTTAAGTATTCGAACTTCATCAGAACAGTATTGATGGAGATCCTCTATCCGAGTTTTTTTTTAAATGTACAAGTATACGGGGTAAAATAAGCTGGAGATATTCACTACCTGTAATAAGCCTCTATTCTTAAAAACATAATACTCTAAAATATTATTGAACCATCTCAGTTAATTACGAAATGATTACATAATATAGTGATGTATGAAATCAGTAACTTATCGATTACTAAATAGTTTTATTAGATATAACCTTTGATAAAAGATCTTGAATCCTTATATATAATTTCCTACCTATTTTTACTAGATGATAAAGGTAATAATAAAAGAATGTAAATGTATGCAGCATCCACCATTAAGCTTCTGTATGCGTAACGTTAACAAATAAAATTAAGAGAGCTGACTGTAAAGTGTTATTTCATATGTAGATAGACCCAGCTTTCAAACCATCAATATCCAATTGTTCTAAAGATTAATGAGGATCTGTCAGATTTTACTGTCAAACAAAAAAAGAGTTTAAGGATAATATTAGTATGGGGATTTGTGGAGATCGCAGTATTTTGACAAACGAATTCACGAATTGATCTAAGCTAAAACACTATTGAAAACCCGCAAGCAATATGAGACTCCTCAGCAGTGCGCACCAACGATCTCGTACGCATGACTTGAACCCAAAACCTTCGGTCCCTCGCGCAGGCGCTTAGTCTCTACTAAAACCTCCACAAATTTTTGTTTTTATAATAATTATATGCTCACTAGTGAATGAACTTATTAAGTTGGGAAATAGAAGCAGATATGAATAACCACTGGGAATAGCTGGAAAGGATTGCCCAGGACAGGGTTGGATGGAGAGTGCTGGTGGGTGGCCTATGCTCCTTCATGAGGAGTAGCAGGTGTAAGAAAGTAAGTCGCTAATTAATAGCCCCAAAATAGATTTCGTGGAGTTCTGTTGAGAATCCGTGACCAATGGAGTTCAGTCCGTGTTGTGTGTAAGACAGTTATCTACTTCAGACAATGGATGAAAGGTTGCGCAAGATTGTGGATCGTTTGAAGTCAGACATTAACACCGATGGATTCCGGCTCAATGGTCTAGAGGTTAAGCGTTCGCTCTCGAAACCAAACGTACTGAGTTTAAGCTAATTATTCCTCGATTTCCTAATATTTTTCAGTAATTTCTATATGTTCTGTAATAATTTCTACCTGTTTGCAAACTTATTGATATTTTCATTAATTTGGCAGCATATTTAACTGTAACTATTCTGTTCACATAAATAATGAAGTCATTCGTTAAACCATAAATTATTTTTTATTGCTGTGTAACTTCAAACATTTTTCGAATCAATTTTCTGAAACCTACAGGCGGTTTAATTTGATGTTTTTTCCTTTTATGTATATTAAGGAAAAGATTTTGTGTATTGTGAAACTTTTAATTGAATACTGAGTTATGTCCAAATTTGTTTGTTTGAAAAGTTACTTAAATACTTGTAAAAATAATGAATGTTAACTAAGAACTTTCGTCTAAATTTGAACGAATAGTTTCACAATATTTGGGCGCCGAGTTAATATGAGACATTAAAGAGGAAGAATGTCAACATTTAAATATTTAAAATGTGATAATTTGAAAACCTAATAATTCTGAATATTATCAGAAGGGTGTTTTGTGTGGACATTATGATAATTTTACTAGTTAAGATCATGAATCAATCGTAGCTAGACCACCATGGAAAATATGGAAGCACTGGACAACCGTTTCGTCCTATTATGGGACTCCTTAGCAGTGTGCATCAATTATCCCACCTCGCGAGTTTTCAATAATTCCTCATAATTCTTTGAAACTCAAAGTCAGGAATATTTGGTTATAATCTTCTAAACATTTATTAATAATAGAATCAAAGTTTGGCTCTATCAATCGAAGTATGATAAAAGGATTAAAGATATTGACTAAATCATCTTTTTTTTGGTTCAATGGAATTGTAAATGTATATTAATACATAAGATATAGGGAGAATTTCGCTGTCATATTTAAATAACAACTATAAACCAATAGATAAAGTTTTTTCCACTCAGAACCAGTTTCATTCTGTATGATAATAACATCAATTATCACATTCTCCAAGATTTGATTAATGAAACATATAATTTAAACATAGAGTTTTATAATGATTTGAAGAAGGCTAAGTTTTACACTTTAAAAAAATATTTTATCATCAATATATAATGAGTGGAAGTGTAGATCAAGAATCATATTCAAGAGTTTCTGCTTCATTTCAGTGATTATAAAGAATTTCATGTATAGTATTGTGAGTAGAAAGTATACATTTAGGCAAACAATAAATATTTATCGTATGTTATGATACATGATTATTCGGTGAGACTATAATTTATGGATGAACCAATCAGTTTTAAGATAACAGGTTTCAGATTTTGGCGCGAAATTCACCCATCCATTTAGTTAAATAGAGTTTTTACATTATCTCTGATGTCAGTTTGTAATGAAAACTCTAAATTTAATTCCTAACTCTAACCATCAACTGCAAATTATAATTATAATTCTTGACACTGGTTTATCATCCTCATTTAGTCCTTGGAGAAGATTTGTAGCTCAGGTGGATGATTTTGGTGGAGTTTTGTTCTCTGAGCTGGATGGTTTGGTCGTGGAGCTTTCATCGTTCTTCTGAACGACATCATCAGCACAAACTTCAAATAGAAGTGAAGTGTTTGAATTTCTCCATATGTGTTTCAAAGCTTGTTCTGTGCACCTCGATGTGGAAATCTTAGACAAAGGAAACTCCAAAAACACCAGAGCATTTTTAGAAGCCTGGCACTCAGGTCAATCAGCAATCAACAAGCATATTGAAATCAATCCAATTTATCAACCAATCAGAAAAATCATGCACAAACATAAGAACAAAAATCCAAACAATGGGAGACACAACCAAAACAAAGAAGTAAACAATGACGAATTTAAAGTCAATAAGTACCAATCAACATCGAGGTGCACAGAACAAGCTTTGAAACACATATGGAGAAATTCAAACACTTCACTTCTATTTGAAGTTTGTGCTGATGATGTCGTTCAGAAGAACAATCAAAGCTCCACGACCAAACCATCCAGCTCAGAGAACAAAACTCCACCAAAATCATTTAGTCATTGTTATTAGGTGAACATTCTCAAGGTCACTTGGGCGTCACTCAAAGGTCGTTCATAAATTATTGTCTCACTGATTATTCTTATATTCTTTACATGTATGTGTACACATTTAACCATACGAAGCTGTAATAATTATACAGAACATCACATTATTACTATTATTATTATTATCAACATCAATACTACTCATTAAATTTTATTAACTTGTAACACTTTAAAATAGTTTAATTAAATAATTTTAATTGTATTTTGTTATTCTTGATGGGAACTTGTCATATTGTTTATTTCAATAAATAAACAGTAATTCGCTTAAATTAACTCGACAATTTAAATGTGTGTGAAAAAAGTTGTATTTTTCAAAATAAAAACAAAACAAACGAACAATATTAAAATTATATGAATAAATCGATCACATCTAAAACAATCACGTAGTTACATTCATATATTGTCGTTTAACTTAGCAACTATGTATATATGTATTACTCTTTAAATTTATAATTTAAGAACATTGTAAAATATTTTAGGATATGTAAGATAATTTGAAAATGTCATTGTATAGTGAATGAGAAAACAAATGGGAACAATCGAATGTATTTGAACATATAAAATTACGGAGCATCTTATTAAAATCTGAGAACCATACAATAGATAATTCATTTGAAAAATGTTGATCAATTGTCTCAGAATTCATTGTTCCTTTGTTTTAACAGTAATCATTCTCTGTTTTTGTTCTCTTACTTTCGATCTTTTTAACTTTCTACCACCAAGCATTTCACTTTCGATTGATGATATATACTGTTTGTATCTGTTGAAATCAGTAGCACACACCACGATTGGAAATCACAATTACATTGTTACAGCTTTTTCAGTTTTTATTCTTTATTTATTTATTTATTCAGACACACAAACATTGGTACATAGAGGCACCAAATAGATGTGTGCCACATAAATCCTTCGATTTGTGTGAGAGCTAGAATACTGCCCGGCTGCCCAGATTGAAGCAGGTGGTTTCCCTAGGGGGCCACACCCGGAGCCCTTGACTTGGAGGTCTAATCCACAAGGCTGTGGAGCAACGTCAGAAGATGCAGTCGCATGGTAGCCGGTGACCAACGATAGGTTCGTACGTCATTTGTTTTCTTAGGATCTTGGGGCCTATTTGCACTATTGGTTTGGAATCAGGGTTCTCCAACTCCCCTAGGTGGATCCTCTATACCCACCAACCTGATTAAAGCACGGGATATTCGCATTTCGTACTCTCAGTTTCGTAAACAGCACCTCCGCCACG